GCTTGAATTACAGCTGATGGACTGTGCTTCCCGATCCACGGTTTTAGGCCACGATTGAACAGGACGGTGTAAAATTCATTATTTACCGACGCGTTTTGGTTGCGCGTACCAGTATCATCATCACGGTTATAGTACACCAATCAAGCAACATGATTTTATGAAACGAGTCTGATTGACAGCAGCGTTTGTTCCACTAATTCTTCCGCACAAGCTAGCCGAAGTCTTTGGGGAAAATTTCATGCCACTGTTAGATATGTCCAAACTGTGCCGTGGAAAAAGAAGATTAACGTCAACTCAGCTTTTCGATGTTTTGATACAAAACCACTGGGTTAAAATGAAAATCGCTTGGTTTTGCAGTTTATCGAAAACCTCAATATTCTGCTAGGTACGTACACCCAGTCTTGCGCCCTGAATTTTTAAAAAATATTCCATGTTACATCAGATTTAAGTCTCTTAGGGTTTGACCACTGATTGTGCTTACCAAGCGAAAATGTGGCAGGTACAAAACCTCGTTCTTACAAATGGCTGCAGTGAAGAAATTATAAAAAGAAATTTATTGAAACCCGTTCTTAAGATTAAAACTAAGTCCAACGATGAAGTCATCCACTGCAATAACCAGTCAAGGTAACCACTTATTTCGAAGCTTTGTAACGAATTCAACAGATCCTGGGGAATAAGGTTATAGAATTTACTGCAAAATGGGCGGTTCATTGGGATCTCAGATCTGCTGCAAACTTAATCAACCGAAGAAAGCGAAACAGAGAAACTAAGTTTAAGAGATCCATTGCAACGAGATCTAAATGGGAAATACGGAGATGGGGCAAAAGGATTCAAGGAAAACTTGCAGCTGTAAGAAATCAGAGAACGGAGAATTCTGACGTCGTTTACCACGTTTATACGTTAAATAAGGAATCTTTTCACATTTACGTTAACAGAAGCCAATTGTCTAACAAATACACCACATCGTTGGGTTTAAGGGACAGTTGCAGTGTCATCGGCCTGCTTGTTCGAAAGAATTAATGGATGAAACTCTGTTGTCATTCAAAATTTTGCATAGCTCTTCATAACATTGTGTCATTTCAGTTTTGTGCTATAGTACTGATGATAAGCCTCGCATGAGGAGTCGAAACGCGTGGGTCACACGTCGGTTATCGGCGTGATCATAAACTGCACGTGGTGTAAAGCGGAAAAACTGCAGTGTATTTTTAGTGCGTTATTATGAAGTTTCTTTTGATTGCTTTAGGAATCCACGATGGTCTTGCGGCGACTGTTCGAACGCTTATAACCTCTCGACGTGCAGCTCGTTCTGTTATTATATGTGCCTCAGCAAGTTCCAGCCTCTTGACTTCGTCCCCGACCTCGGGGGCAAGTTTGCGAGCGACCTGGACAGCTTGCCAGGAGCCAGTTTCAACAACGAGGACACCAGGCACCTGAAAATAACGATGAAAGCCGAGGCGGTGTTTCACCCGAAAGTATCAGCGACCAATGTCGTTCCGAGCAAGAGGGTCATAGTCAAACTGAATCACACTGTATGCCCTAAACCCTCTGCAGATATCACCGACGTGGAGAGGGTCGAAAGATCAGCCGAGGGTGTTTCGAGCGAA